AAAAAAAAATTTTTTTTGAGGAAAAAATGTTCGAAAAAAATGCTGGAAAACAATCCAAACAAGGTCTTTCAAGTGGAAGAATCCGAGAAAAATGTCTCGAAGAGCAAGCAAATCGAAAAAATTTTAAGGGGTAAAAATTTACAAAAAAAACTGCTGGGAAACAATCCAAAGAAAAAGAATTCAAAAAATTCTAAATAGGATCCCAGAGAAATGGCCGCAGAACCTGGAATTCCAGGCAGGTCTTGCGAAGTCCTCGGAGAGAAGTACAGGAGCATAAAGCCTATTCATCGTAATACTCCTTCTTGTAGAACTTAACTCTCGGCGAGACTGGCACTACCACCTCAGCCTTATTGTTTGAAGGCGGTTGACATACATCATGGCTCATTTGCCCCACCAATTAGCCTGAGACTACTGCTGTTCTTAAAAACCTTTCTGTGACCCCTTTTCGTTCCATTCACCTTCAAACGTAGTTGTTCATGCTTTGGTATATAAAAACCCAAGCTCTGAAAGTTACGTTCCTGAAATTACGAACCCTCCATTGAATCGAATCTCGGTGCTCTATCCTGGTTTTGCTGATTCACATGAAGCTATAAAGATCCTGCAGCAGGGAAGCGCCCACGTAGCGCATACCGAGTTAGAAAGGTGCATGCGTTTGTAAGGGTATTCGTCTTAAACATTGCATCACGAGAGCCATCCGATTAACAAAACTGAGTTCTTCATCTCCCATCTGAATTTGCTACCCAATGATCGATCCCAGAGCGCTGAAAGGCTTTGTTGACCTAGACGGATATCGATCCGGGGCTTGGTCCCCGGATCGTACATGCGAGAACGACTCTATAACGCAACCCAACCTTCCACACTAGTGCAGCGGCCACCTCGCACAGCAAAATTTCGGTCCCGACCCCTCCCCCGCCCCCTTCCTTCGACGAGGAGTGACTCCTGTTCCATGTGGTTCGATCGTAATACGCTTCATGAGTTTACGATCTCCTCAGATCCTTCTTCAGCCAATTTCGGACGTGAGAGTGTTCTACTGAGAAAAAGCACCCTGCATCGCGAACCAATTCTGAAAGGATGAAGGAAAACGCAGTTTGAATAAGCTTTCTAGGTCAGTAGGTTCGTCCAAATCGTGTAAGTGTTCGAATACGTATTTGGTCTATACAGTACCTTACAAAAGCTATACTACCTATAAGTGAGGGTTATTACGTTCCCAAATTAGTTTGCTGGTTCCAAACGCAGGCGACTCCTCCTCCACAACATAGGAGGGCCTGGCTGGTCTAGATGGAGGTTCTGGGCCGTCAGTGCCTTCCCTGATCCAGGAAGTTCCCAAGTTCCTAACACGGATGGCTCTTTCTCCACAACATCCTCGATTTCTGTACCGATGACTGACCTCTGTTGATCATACCCTGCTACTGGCCACTAGTTTAAACAATACAGCGATCACTTGAAGCGCAATGTCAACAAAGAGTCACCGTCGATTTCGACTCATCTTCGCACGGACGCCGCCGAAAAGCACAAATAAAGTCGAATGACAAATCGCCCCGTAAGCCCCTAACTACACATAAGGACAAATTTGTACCAACGGTGTCGTATTCTCTAGTATGCATGGGATACCCTTAAATGGGACATAAAAGGACTGCGTGAGCTTACCCTCTTTTCAGTAAAAAAATCTTAAAAAGCCGGCAGCAGCAAAAAAACGGAAAAGTCCCTTCACCAAACCGGTTTCAAAAGAATCAGCAGGTCACTTGCTTTGAGCCAGCTTTTTGGATTGTACTAGAAAGAAAGTGAGCTCATCTTCCCCTTTTTTTCTTCGGTTTTTGATTACCATTCAGTCTTCAGATCCATTTTCTCTTCGAAATATGATGGTGAAGTAATGGGTGGGCCCGCCCACTTTTTTTTCATCCACCTTCACCACGACATTTTCAGATGGAAATCGTATCTGCACCTGTCAGCTTTAATGACAGCTGTCACCCACCTACCAGGCACATGACCGCTAGCTATGAAGCTTAGTTTGGTGCTGAGCACGACATCGAAAATGGAGAAGTACTACTGCTATGACACCAGTAAGCAATGGAATAGGCCTTGGAGACAACCTAGAAATTCCTACTTAAAAATTAGCGTAGAAGTCGGCAAAAGGATCGCCAAAATAGAAATTGAAAGCAGGAAAATCTCAAACATTTGGGGGCATTGTTTGGGCCTTTTTTGTACCTTTGCATAGCACAAAGAAGACAACCCGCCGCCAATGTCTTCAACCTGAAATCATACAGTAACAATGAAACTTTCTCCCTTCCACGTCCCCATGGATCCAAATATTCCAGATCGAAACTTGTCCAGGTCAATCGAGCTTTTCATTCTTTCAAGATTAGTCAATTAGTAGGGACCAAAAAAACAATGGATAGGAGTCGCACACGAGGCATTCAGGGCCTTTTTGGTTTGGTAAAGACCAAAGTTGTAAGATCGGCTTCAAAAGTCATCTAAAGGCCACGGAGACTAGGACTATTAGGGGATCAAATCCGTAGAGACCTATACAGGAATACTCTGCAGGAAACATTTTGATTAAATGTACGAAAGTATTAAACAACAGCATAGACGTCGGTTCCCGAACCCTATTTTACATGAAGGCAAAAATTTCTGACTTAATTACTACGAATGGAAACTGGGTATATGGCGCATTCCCTTGGGGCGAAACGATCCCTGCCAATGATTTCCCAGTTCCTCTTACCCTTTCATAAAGACTCAAACACCACACCTCCTTTTTCTTGCATACATCCAGACTCCAATCAGACAGAAGCTTTTCCCCCCCAATAAGTTCATACCTACTTCTTCCCAGAGCTAGTAATGTCTGGGAACTTTTTGCAGAATGCTGTCCAGCGATGCATGGAAAAGCCTTTCTGGGAACAGAACCGGTTATTAGACGAAAAGTGCTTTTGCATGGAAGCAAACTTTCTTCAAGAGTGCTTTTCATCCTCACAAAAAGGTATTCCCCGCTTCACCTCCTTACTAAACCAGGAGACTACTCCTCTACTAGTTCGACCTTAGACCACCATGAAACAAGAATAAATTTAAGCACTTTTTGGGTGCTTACTGGTTAACAGACAACTCCTACAACTTATCTACAGAAGTAAAATAAAAGGTACAGAAATAATGAAGAAAC